TCCTCCTTGGATCTCTGATGACCTTGATGGATAATTGTAGCTTTAACAGCAGCAAACGCCCAGCTACTTGGTCAGTCCACTACCTTGCTGACAGTTTACACACTAAGAAATATATCAGTTTTTAAAAGTTATGAGACAAAGGCAAGTAAGTAATATATGTCAAGGAAAAAAAAAAGGATACAAGCTATGTAGGTCTACGGCATATAAGTCTGATGTTCTGACAGTTCAAAAAATGTGTTATGGTCTGATGATATGAAAGCTTGAGAAAGTGATTTATATACCTGAGAGAGTAACTTAAGGTGTATAAAGAGTTGTTTCAGATTTCTTTCCTTATCTCTATGCTATTGTTGGGGCTCCACTCACCCCTCTCCCTCACCTACAGTCAGAATTCACAACCTATCCTCCAGTTCCCTCCAGACTTCTCCCTTAATTTGCTTCTTTCAAGGAATTTCTCTACTCATTTTCTAATGTCCTCTTACCTTAGTGGGAAAAGATGTCTTCTCCAGAGTTGACATAAATTTTGCCTTTCTGTCCCTGATAACAGCTCCCAAGAAGATCCTGTGTCTTTCCTCTTCCTTCCTCAGACTCCACTTTGTACACTACCAGTCTCCCAGTCCCCAAACCCATCTTCTCCTCTGCCCACTTCCTGAGCTAATCCCACTGTATGGGTTGCTTATGGTATGTTTTTGTGGGATGAATACAATCTACACTTCTTCATTCAAATGCTGATTTCTCTACCCCACTACGTGATTTCAATCTGGATATGGCATTGTGATCACCTGTCTTAAGTTTGTGTAAACATGCCACCATTTGTTCTCTCTATTGTCAATAAGACAACCAGCCCCATTGCTGAGCAATGGAGAGAATAGGGTGGGACATCCTGGTCTGGAGTGGGAGGAGAAAGAGTGCAGGGGATCAGCAGGAGAGGACTTTGAACCACAAGGAGAGATCAATAGGACCTAAAATATGACTAAAAGCAAGTATAATGGGTGAAATCTGAATGTTAGGAAATTAAGCAGGCTTGGAGGTTTAGGATGGTATAACTCTTGCCCAGCATTGTCATCTATGTTAATTAAATAAATCCTAGTCTCTGTGTGGTGAATTGGGTATACTGCTGGAATAACTGCTTTTAACGTTTAGAAATAACCAGTTTAACTAAAAGATAAATCATTTTTAAATATTAATAACCACTGCAACATGCCACCTCTCTTTCCTTCACTGTATATCATAAACCTATCTCTATTATACCTGGAGAACATTCTGCATACATCTCCAAACTCAATACTCCCTACCCTTAAACAGCATTGCCTAGGCCTCACACCCATCTTTTCTACTTCCTTGCCCTAAAATACTCCCATAGTAACAGAAAAAAAACAACTTGAGAAAACCTTTTACCTCGTCCAAGATCTTCCTTCATTAACTCTTTACATCCTTAAGCTATTATCTATCATCCCTGACCACTACACTCACTTTTCAGTCCTAAATCTTAAGTACACTATCATCTCAATACTCCGAAGGCACTTTGTTTTCAGATAGATGGATACTTAAACTCAAAAATCCTAACAACTGAACTTGCCTGTCCTTCTCCAGGGATGCAGAGACAGTCCCCATCATTTTGGCCAAGCATTACTATGGACTTGGTCTGCCCTCTCCCTTTTCCTCCTTCCAGCATTGGTACTTAGATAACATCCTTCTTTATAGTCCTTCTCTCTCTAATAGATAATCTGACCTCTCTACACAATTTCCTCATTTTCAGAGGCTTCTGGATCTTACCTTCTAAAGCACAACTCTCCTTTGCCCAAGTCACCTATCTCAGATTCTCTCTCACATCACCCATAGACACCTCACTTTAAGAGGACCTTGCCCATCTCCACTCCCCTTCTCTACAGTCTTAGCCATCTTCCTCCATCATAGATCCCTACATACTCCTGATATATTTCCTATACCATGTTATTTCTGGACCATCACTTACCTCCCATCCACAAACAATTCATCAGGCATAAAACCTTCTCTTATCTGCTCTAGTCCTCTGCATCCCAGTTATATAGAAACCTTTCCATTCTTGGATTTCCAAAGTACACAAACACTGCTCTTTTCCCCATCGAATTATCTCTCCACAATTTTAAACAACACATTCCAAAGATGATCTTTTTGTGTGCACACTCTTGCCACAGCCTCTCTGCTTAGCTCTAAATTCAGCAAATAGCTATGATTCCTCATAGTACTAATATCCCACCCCACAGCTGCTAAAACTGAAGGTAAAGGCAGAAACTCCAGGGTCCCCTCTCCTAATCTATTCTCAGTACAGTCTCCCTCAATTCCTAACTTACAAAGGACTCCACCACCCCTTACACCTTCTCAGATATCATCTTTCAAACATCTCTTATCAGAGATTTACCAGTCATATTCCTTTCCTTTCGTAATCATTCCACACTTAATCTCCTTGCCTCAACATTCCTCAGATCCTCTACACCCCTGACCAAAATTCTCAAGGAACTCCTATCACATCCCTTTCACACACAAGATGGTCTTCTAACTACTTCTACTACATTTTTTTATATAATAGTCAGCTCCTTCCTATCAGACAGGTACATTAAACTGACATCTCCTTTAGTATTATTAATCCTCAACTTCTGGCTCTAGTGCTCTTGAGATCACCCATTCCCCAACCTCATTTTTCTTCTCACACTCATACTTTTCCACTGCCTAAATGATTACCAAGCATCTACTGCCAGCTGACTCCCCTAAATAAATTAACTGTCTAGATGTCCTCAGGCATCAAACATGCTAAACAAATCATAAATTCTACACACCCAATTAAAGATGTAATCAAACCCAAACTGTCTCCTCTCTCTGTCTCTCTCTCTCACACACACACACAGTCCACACTCATAATTAAACCCTCACTTGTGTGAAAGTCATCCACCAAAATCTCTCCTCAACTCCTCTGACAACTCCTTAAATGCCTCCCATTGTTTTCTTTTTGCCTCTTCTTCAAATTCATTCATTAGTTACAGTTCCTCTCACTACCAATACCATAGCAACAATGCCCTATTCTCATTACTGGCTGCTTGCATCCTAGACCATCTAAGTTCCCCTTTTGGAACAAAAGCAAAATGCTCTCAACCTGTCCACACCAAACTCCCCCAAATTGTTACAGACTGTTCCTCTTACTGTCTGTCAAGACCCTCCCCAATCTCCAATGTTCTTAAAATATCTCAATTTAAGAACCTACCTGAACATCCCCTAAAAAGACTACTTTGACACAACCAAAGCTTCTCAAATTATATTCTCCCCAACACAACCAGACCCTGCTTTCAGATTACAGTTGCTCCCAAATTAACCTTATATAGCCAAAATAAATTTTTGTGACTCTTCTCAAGAACTATTTAACAGATTCCAGATAAGTACTCCTGACAATTAACAGCCTAAATTATCCTGCCTATTGCCTACTCTGAATGGTGGTTATCTCTTCCCATTTTCCTGGGCTTGGCACTCCTCTTCCATACTACCAGGACCATGAACCTAATAGTTTCAAATGTACACCTAAGATAGAATTTTGTTTTCTAAACTGTTTAGCTGTGTTCCAGGAGATTTCAAATGAACCACAGACTACTCCAGCAACTCCTATTTAGTCCCAGCTATTTTCTCTGAATCTATATCCTGGTCCAGTCTCAACAGGGTACACTTCCCTAGCCACTTATCCCTAGGCTCAGAATTGTATGTATTGGCACAGGCAATTAAAATGCAGTCCATATCAAAATATGCTTTCAGTGAAACATACATTCTAAAGATTTACTTCATAGTTTCTTAGTACATTTTAAAGCAGCTAAAAATTACCATGTCCTATGCAGCTCTTATCATGTTTCTAAGAGCAAACAGGTGACCTCATATCACCTGGCTCTTCCATGTGGATGACCAGGAGCATTCAGTGCAGACAACATGTGTGCCTCCATGACAGATCATTCTCCAGCAAGGAACTGTAAGACAGACTGGGAGAGGAACTTAAAAACCACCTGGCTGCAGCTTTGTATCTCACATTGGTGATTTACATTAAACACAGGATTGTAAAATTAAATTAGCAATTTTTGTGCATATTCTAATTGTGCATACTGTCACCAGATAAAAAGTGGAAGACCATGATCAGTGCCCAACTGAATTAGAATTGAGAAAGATGGACATAGAATGCTTCAGTAACAAACCCTACCACCACTTTAGCTGGCCCTCCCCTAAAAACATAACAGCCGCAGTGGAAATGTTTTATAAGTACTTCTTGAGTTATGATTTTTGCAATTCAGTTTGGCCATTTAGAAGAAAAATTTGGAAAAGGAGTCCCTTCATTTCCTTCTGATGAGATGCTTTGAGGGCCTCAGTGTAACATCCTTGGTATGTCTGTGGTGTTTTCAAATTGTCATAATTCAAATTGGCATATTCTGAAGCATATTGGTGCTTCAGAATCTCTTTTCATCTTATTTTTCTCTAAAATCAATCCCTCTAACTCATTTCTCAATCTGAAATTTTCTTATAAAATCTCTGAAATATGGGACTCAGTAAAGACATTTTGCTGGTACGCTATGTTCTTTAGGGGTCTAGGGAAGGAGTCTGCACTTCGTCCATTTGAGTACAAAATTCTCTCTTGAGTCTTTTGGCAGATGTTTCTTCTCTGCTCCTGGGGCTTGCTTGAACAGACTCATTCTTATTCTGGGTCTTCTCCCCAATTTACAAATGGTCCTATATCTCACTTTTTCCTTTTTTTCTTTGTTGAGTCTTGCCCACTTTGCTTTAGCTTTCTCTCCCTGTAATTCTATAGACTAGATATTCTGATCATGTTTGTCATTCTCCTTGTGTTCTAAAAGCAGTTTAACGTTAAAAATATTTACATTAGCTTCCAGATTTCTTACAGTGATCTTATGGCCTCTTTTATGTCTTCCAAGTTCTACAGAAGGAAAAGAATGAAAATCCTGAGGTTCTTTTTGTGTTTTCATAAAGGATTTTCTTACCACTGAACCCATAATTTTCCCTTTGCTCTGCAAACTATTTGTCAGTTTCTCAGACACACCGGCTGTCATGCAGAAGGGGAAGTGTGCAGGCCCAGGGCTGTGTCTGGTGCAGGCAGCTGGTGAGACTCTCAAGGAGGTTTGTGTTGGAAGCTGAAACACTGTGGGAGGATTATTATAATACTGCATGCAGTAATAAACTGCCAGGTCTTCAGCCTGCACACTGCTGATTGAGAGAGTGAAATCTGTCCCAGATCCACTGCCTGTGAAGCGATCAGGGACCCCAGTGTGCCTAGTGGATGCCCAGTAGATCATCAGCTTAGGGGACTGCCCTGGTTTCTGCTGGTACCAGGCCAAGTAATTTTTTTGGTTGCTGTTGTAATAAAGGCTCTGACTGGACTTGCAGTTGATGGAGACCTTCTCTCCTGCTGACACAGCCAGGGAGGATGGAGACTGGGTCATCACGATGTCTGCACAGGTACCTGCAATCACGAATGCAAAATGAATATGCATATAAAAGCAAACAAAGATTGAAAAACAGTTGAAATTTGTCACTTAATATATTTGTACTATCATGTTGTCAGAGTATTATTATTGAAATATGAAATATTGAGCCTGGCAGATTCCAAGTTCTTATCTAAAGGGAAGTGACTCTGTAAAGGTTACAATACTTTGAGTTTCTCACCAGACACCCAAAGCAGCAAGAACAAGAAAACCTGGGTTTGTGACTTCATCTTGCTCCCCCTGCTGTCTGATGCAGTTCAGTTCTCATTGTAAGGGGATGGTTTATATATTCTCAGCAGCTGGGCTGTGCTGTAAGGGGCCCATGCAAAGCAGGCAGCAAATACAAAAGCAGATGCTTGTGAAGTTTTTGTGATTGTAGCTGATATAAATCAACAGTCAAAAATATTACAGGGAGCATGAACAATCACTGAAAAAGACTGCCTTACAGCTCTCAAACACAAAATTACTAGGTGCTCTAATAGCAGACCTGGGTTATAATTCAAGACCTTTAAATAAATTGACTTCTGTAGAAACATTAGTAGAGCTATCTCAGATTGACTGTCCATGGGAAATAATAGGATATGTTCAAAAACATCACAAATACAACAAAAGAAATAGAGTAAGAAAGCATGCTAAAAGAAAGGGAAGATGGAAGAAATGATAAAAGGAAAAAAGAGAATCGAGGCTAAATGTGTTCAATATTATGCATGTCCAAAACCACTCTGATAATGTCAATGAGGACCCCTCCAGTCAAGATGACTGATCTACCTTTACTACATCCAGTCTCCTGCGATGATCCAGAAGTCCTTGTTTATGTCAACAACACTTGGCTGCTGGGTTGTCCTGCTTTTGAAGGAACGCAAGTAAAACAGACTCTTAACTTTTCAGGAATGGGAAGGGGTCATCCTCTTTGCTTTACCACAAAGAGTATTCATCAGGACTGCTTACCAGTCTCCCTTGTCCAGGTTATGCCTACCACTTTAAAGTTGGGATGGCAGTTCAAGCCTCCCTTTGCAACCAGGCAAAGTGGAACATTGGAGGGATATTATTGTCCCTTCCTACAGGAGTTAATAATGACAGTCTTACATCTCCAATGAGTTAACCACCCTGTGGGAAAGGGGATCAACACACTTGTCCTTGACCAAGATACATTGGAGAAACGCCCACTATCTACTTCCGGGACAATGATCCTGCATTTACTGTCCTGGACTGTTCTATCATTAATGGTATAAAGAAATTGGCTTCTGATAAAGGCAGTCAAAATTCTTTTGTTTTATAAAAAGCTGTTAGTGCTGGACTTTGGAGGATTTCAAATAAAAACTGGCAAACCTATGTATGGAAATATGGGGCTACCTTGGGATACATAGGCCTTCTCTCTGAGAATGCAAGTAGCTTTGCTAAATTAAGCAAGTATGCTTCTGTTTTGACATGTATTAATCCTCCTGATTTAGTGCTAATTGGAAACATTGTAGTAAGATATTTTAAGAACAATGA